CCGCCATGTTGGTGGACGTAAATAATAGATATCTCGTTAGCTTCTTTTGTTCGTCCACCAGTATTTGTTCCTTTTGCCATTGTTACCTGTGTCTCTAGAGACCGGTTGCAAACCACCTAGTAGTAATAGTAGAATCTTTATTTATACGCGATAAGAATGAAAGCTAAAAAGCTTGTGGAGTCGTGTACTTAACAAAATAGTAGCTAGCCAACTTATGATTAAGTTACATTTCAAACTTAATAAGAAACTATAATACAATAAAACATTCAATTTCCTCTCAACTTCAAAATATTTGTAATCAGTTAATCTATTTCTGGCCGTCGAACCTGATAAACTAGTAAAAGTAAAGCTTGTGAAGTGATTGTTTCGCCTGAGTAGCCTCCTGAGATTCTTAAGGGCGAAACTACCTACATTTTTGACATGATGGTTAACATAGTTCCATAGCACCGAGCCTCTGTGTGCTAAAGAGTCCTTTAACAATCTAGTGTTGAATGTAAGTGTGATTACTGCTTCTTGGACTCTTAGTGAATAGCTACATTCCCGCCTTATTAATATGCTATTAATTAGAGACTGAGGCAGTGAGACTTTACTTGCTCTATAAAAAAGGTTAACTATTTGAGATTTGTATTCTAAATTGATCGTATCCCATCCTGAAACGTCGAGAGCTACATTAGATTCCGTATCTTTGGATAAGTTGTAGACAAAGATACGGAATCTATATCTCAAAGTTTGGATAAGTTGTAGACAACTTATCTCAAAGTTTGGATAAGTTGTAGACAACTTATCTCAAAGTTTGGATAAGTTGTAGACAACTTATCTCAAAGTTTGGATAAGTTGTAGTCAAAGATACGGAATCTGTATCTCAGTTTTGCTATTCATCTCTGATAAACTCGCCCGGGCTTTGAGGCTCAATAAATATCCACCTCTGCCACCGAGACTGAGGTGAATACCTGTAAAGTAGGAAAATATTTGGACCAACGGACGCAGCAAGAACCGTGGGTAATGACCGTCCGTGATGACCGTGATGACCGTAAATCCGAAGACAAGAGAGAATTGAATATTCTGCAAGTGAAAATACTAATCTGCAGGTTGATAAACATTGATGGACGCAAAATGAGTGGTCACTTCTACTTTCTTTCTCTCACTGTAAGTTAGGAATAAACAGATGTTAAATCAGTGCCTTTGAGATAGTGTTGTTACTTATCATCAATTACCCTTTATAATTACCATAGTCGATCAGGATGGTACTTCAAGTGTCTAAGAAAAACCCTTCAGAATTAATAATTAAGGTATTTTTTATTCCATTTTTTACACCTGTTTTCCTGATGTTGTTATATGGAGGCGTCAGTGGCGTTTAATAACAAAAAAATTCGTGCGTCCTGTCTCTTACAACATCCGCGTGGTTGACCTCACACAACGCCTTCTGAACGCCCATACGTTTCTTATCTTGAGTTCCCAATAAGGTCAAAACTAACCAAAACTAACCGAAAAGTAACTAACTCTAAAATTCTGTCATTTGTTCCCTACCATTATTGTCGTCTTTTCAAAAGGAAACCAAATAAATATTAATTTTTATTCGATATTCCAGTCGTAAGGACGGTGCCTGGTGATAGGGATATATTTTTCCCGGTCATTGATTGTGCATAATTAATTAGGACCGAGTGGAATCCAATTGAATCTGTGATCATACAAATGATTAATTTAAAAAAAATCGGACGACAACGAAGTGGAAGTCCGATTGTCAATCGCGAGTGTGGTTACAGACCGAAATGGACGACTCGAAGTTCTGTTACCAATTAATCATAATCATTACTATTTCCCAGAAAACCAACTGATGACGTTAAATTTTTGAAAAAAGGTGAGGACAATAAAATTTCCCCATCAGTCCCATTTGAATTTGCTTTGATATAAAAGAACTTAAAAGTACATTTCAAAATATTTCAACTAACTAGGAAATAAGATCCTCATCAAAGATGGTCTCAATGGGGTAGCAACCTTTTTTAAGATTAACAGTAAAAATTTTGGCCAATGTATGGCTAACAGCTAAGACGCAATCTCTCTGAAAGAGCTCCTGTGAATTTTGGTTAAAAAAATAGATTTGTTTCACACTTTGCCCATGAATCTGTCTGAGTGTAAACTGGAGTAATCGGAACCACCTGTTTTTTTCGAAATATTGCAAAACACTTTCTTTCGAGCCAAAATCCCTTCAGTCGCTCAAAGGCCCATTTGTAACAGCGCCGTTCGTCAAAAATCGCACAAGTTCTTCTTTTGCAACAGTTTTTTTTCATACCGTAAGTTATTTTTTCATTTTGACACCTACCTTACCATTCGCGGCATTACCGTAAATATGAAACTTTCAATTCTAATCTCGGTTCAAAAGTCCACCTTCTTCCTCGCGAAATTTTTACACAGACTAACTAATTAAATGAGTTAGATGACTATGGATATGTAGAAATTTGTTGTAATTTCGGCAAACTTCTAGCATAGCCGGTAGACCTATCTCATTGCTGAAAATGATGTGTAGCAAATGAATACAGGGAGTCCGCTGGAAAACTAAAGATTTTTTAATGTAAATAGAAAGGTCATCTCTTTATTGCTTTTTACTAATTCAGTTCATTGAAGAAGACGTGAAAAACAAATTTCAAACGCAGGGTTGTGTCAAAGGCAGAGACAATGGAAATTGAAAATTACTTTACGATCAAAGGTGAGGGAACTAGAAAGCCTCACGAGTAAGCTAAGGCCTCTTAAAGACAGACCACCATTACATATAGTTGAATGTGATCGCCTTGGGGTATATCGTATTGACCCTAATACATAGGATAATACATACGTAGGTTAATACATAGGTTAATTGACCACTCCTCATAGGGGTTTTTCAGGGCCAACACCCACCCATCCCACCCTAGGGGAGGACAGCCACCACACAGTAGTCTCGTGCAGGGGAATTTAACGTCTCCTATCTCCAACCCTGCAGGTGACGGGGGCCTACGGTTTATTCGTCCTTATCCGAGAAGACTAGAATATCTGTCCATTTCTTGTTATAGAAAGGTAGCAAATTCTCCTCGGTTATTTTAAGACCATGAGTATTGGTCCGGCCTGGGCTCGAACCCTCGACCTCCCGCACAACACAATCCGGCGCACTAACCAATTGAACTGTATTCTGCGGTGTCAATGCTGTTTACAATTGTGACCCTCAGGCATGCGAAATCGTGCATTACAGTGAAAGCACGGGCTCGATAAAATGGCACGTTAAACAACGTAACGCGCACTGAGCTTCAGAGCAGCGCGCCAAATGGCATGACTAATTAAATTCTTTATTTCTCTACTTGGCACGATAAAAACAAAGGCGCGTCTCATGCCACGTTTTTCGAGTAAAATGGCAGTAAATTTATCATCCACGGGTTTATATCGAATTAATTTGATGGCCTGCTCCCAGTTGGCTTGTTAGCTCAATTTTCACTATTGCTCAAATAGTGCTTTACTGCGAAGGATCGTTCTCATATACATTTCAACTTGGTTGATATATCCAAATTATTTCGTTACTCCCACCGACGCAGCCCCAAACAGTTTCTTTCGAAACTATCAGCCTTTATTCAATAAAACAAAGACAAAACCATTCGATAAACGGCCTGATTTCTTGGAATTCAAAGACTATCAAGGCAGAAATCAAATCCCGTACGAAACCCTATTCTCAAAAACCATTAAACGTAATTATAACCATACCTTACCCAATGTATAAAAGGTAATCTATAATGGTAAATGTAGTTGAGTAAAATTTTGAAATCACGTGCATGATTTCACACTAAGAGTGCGCAACACAAAGTTAAATTACCGCATTTTGAAACCGCTAAATTTAATCGCTCAAATACAGGATTTTTTCAATAAATAGTATCATATTTATTCAGTACTGAGCTGGTTTTTAAAAAGTAGTAGCCTGCGAGCAAACACTTATTATTAGTGCTACCATCGACATGACCGTTTCTACTCCCGCGAGAGGAATTGTGGACTTAAGCAACATGAGCCCGCGATAGGGCTGTAAGGAATCTAGCAAAGAGGGCCTGCGAGGAGGGCCTGTTATTGCTTTTCGATTTGAGTCCATAAAAAGGTATCGGTATGTTGGCGACTTGATCGTTACTCGTTCAAGGTCACAAGCTCATACCTAAATTGAGATTAGTGCTTGCACATAATTATTTTGAAGCAAAACCATTAGTGTTGTCTCTGTTATCGTTGTTCTTATTATATTTGTTTGTGAACACTTCAGTTTAGGTCAAAGACAATAATAAGTAGTTCTACTGTTCCTTTGACCTACAGCTAATATGAAGGGTAAAGAAGTGATCTCTGTCCACTGAGGAAGCGATCATACCCGTCTACCCTTACTGCATGTCGCCGGAGAACTTTGTAGTGAAGGGAAACCACAGGTGATTTTGCGTTAGTATGTTAATGACTTGTCAAACAAATGTCGATGCTTTATGAAGGTACTAAAATATGTAGACTATTACCGAAAGGCATACTGTATTTCGTGTGGATGATATTTATACATTGGATATATTTTCTCTTCTTTTTTTTTTCATTATTTGTAGAGCACGGGGCTCGTAACGCGAGCAACGCCGAAAGAAATAACCGTGGTAATTAGGGAAATGTTCACACGTGGACGGACGGACTACATTGTGGGCACCAAAATAAAACAAGACTGAAATTGTAAACTGGTACTTTTAAACGTCCGATCTTCATAGAGATTAACATTTTAGAGGTCAATTGAAATGCAAATGATCCAAAGAACACTTCAGTCCCCGAAAATTACTTTACGATCTCGATATGCAGACGGCCTGGTAAGATTACAAAAACCTTGAGTTCACTGCACATGGATTCCCAAAGTGATGCGACTTACGGCTTAAAAATGTAAGTAGGTCTTTCGCTTTTAGCTGACAGTAGATTTACCCCACCGTTAAATAGAGCCTTTCAGTCTTTTGTCGAAAAATTTTCCTTGCCTTTTTCGTTTCTTGTTTTTTAACGATAGTTTCCGGGTTGCTAACGATTTTTTAGTAAATTTGAATATTGACTTTGCAATTCGATCCGCAAGCGTTTTTGCCACGTGCAAAAATTATGTATTTCTTTGTATTCTTTTAATTTCAATTTTGTATTCTAACAAACCTGCTTCGATACACATCGTTCAATTCAGTCATATATATTTTTTCTGATGAAATTAATTATTTACTTTTCCCTAGTGAAAAAAAAGCGATCCCCCGCTTTGCTAAACCCACATAAATACAAAATTTTGCAGAATTATCAGTTCTTGATGAAACTTTAAAGTTGTTCCTTTTAAGTTTGCCGTAAAACTGACAAATCAAACAGGAAAGGGGTACGTTTTACTTCCTTGAATCGAGGGTTCTTTCTTTCAAGCATGAATTTCTTGCCTGCTCAACCTTAGGAGCAGCTGGCGTTCTTTAGTCAGTTTCAATTTTGGCCCCGACATGTTCCACTTCCTTTCTTCTGATCAATAGTCCTTTTGACAGTTGTGGGCTTGGTGGCCAAGCCTTTAAACAGGAGTGAGGCTTAGGGTGACCTTGTTATGATAGAGATGTTGCTGCTTTTCAAATGCAAATTACTCATGCTAACTAGATACAGGTCTGTATCACAACAGGGTCACCCTTAGCCTCACTCCTGTTTAAAAGCTTTTCAAATACAAATTACTCATGCTAACTAGATACAGGTCTCTATCACAACAGGGTCACCCTTACCCTCACTCCTGTTTAAAGGCTTGGCCACCAAGCCCACAACTGTAAAAAGGACTATTTTGAGGTTCTCGCCCCTCTTTTTTTTTAACTAAGCTGGTGTTTTTTCCTTTCGATAATCTTTCTTTTCAATTGAAAGTTGGATTAAGAGTTGCCTTAAACTTTCTTTAGATTCCATCAACACTTTGTCGATGACAGCGATTATCCAAAGTCCTAACCAATTAACTAAACCCTTGGAAAAAAAAGAAACATTTGAAATCAATCAGTCTGTTTATTTGGACAAGATGAGTTTTAAGTTCAAATCAGAGTATCATTATCATCATCATCACAACGGTAAGGATGACTAAAAGAGTTTGGTTAAATCTATGAAGAAGATGAACTCATATACATCGTAGCATTGTAAATCCTTTAAAGACTTCTGCTAACTATAGCGGATGAACTTAGCTTCTTGTTTTCCTCTATATTTAACCTATGAAGAGGCAAAGATAAAAGAAAATTCGCTTTAGATTAAAGAGCGGTGGGAAAAACTGACTTACCAGGCTACGTAAAACTCGCCTTTCAAAACTGCTAAATTCAAGTTTTGGATGTTTTATGAAAATGTGCAAAACTTCGGTCATTTCTTTTCATTTTAGTGATGAAAAATTGTATTCATTTCTTATGATTGCATTCGTGATTAAAAACAAAACAGTTAGGTATCTTAGAAGAAAAGGGTTTATTTCTTACAATAGTTGCAGTAAAGGGGAACGTGAAAGGCGTGGGCTGTTTTCATTCCTTCCTTTAGGCCTTCCGCAGGACGTTTCTGAGAAAAAGATCCTTGAACTCCTAAGTTAGAAGCTATTTGAAATTTAAAACTTGAGCTCGCCTTACGAAACTAGGTGCTTATCTATGAACTAAAAAATGTTCTTCCATAATCGGAGTGTATAAATTCAGTTGGCTGCAACAGTTCTGACATCATAACTCAGCAGGCTCACTTTTTATAGAAGTTAAAGTTTAAGGGGAATTCAACATTCGCACAATGTCTCGTATTCTCCCTTGTTCTCTCCGAATCTTTTTGGTCATCGCGTGTGTATCCAGGAGTCAGACTTTGGCTCGTCCCGTCCCATCGTTTAATTCTTAGTGCCAGGTTATTCCTTTTCCATGCTCAGAATTTCTTTTTTTCTTCGAACTCCAATAACTGAAGGTTAATGGGTACGGAGTAAATTTTCGTCTTGTAATCAGCTGACTAGATTTTTGTGCAACCATAGTAATAAGGATTTTATTGAGTATGAACTTCGCTTGTCTTTTTTTGTTGTTGTTGTTGTTGTTTTTTTTTTTTCCTTCTTTTGTATTTCGTCTTCTGTTAACTATTGTCATCATTATTTTTCGAATTAATGCGTTTTTGTTTCTTTAAGTCTTACTTCTGGTCTTTTCTCACACTTGACTTTGACTTGGTCTTTGTTTTGCTTTTTTTCTTTTAACTTATCACATACTTCTTCTATTCAACAGCTAATTGTGCTGAGTTGTACAAGGCTGGCAATACATTCAGCGGTGTCTATTCGATTGATCCTGATGGTTTAGGTGCCTTTGATGTGTACTGTAATCAGAGCACAGCTGGAGGAGGATGGACGGTAATCCAGAGGAGACTGGACGGCTCTGTTGATTCTAATCGTTGCTGGTGCGACTACAAGCATGGCTTTGGTAACATGACTGGTGAGTATTGGTTGGGAGTGGACAAGATAAACCACCTCACTTGGAGAACAAAGAACAAAGTCCGAGTAGATCTGGAAATTGGATTCAAGCAGAAAGTTCATCATCCCTACGCTGAGTACGACTTGTTCGTAGTTGACTCGGAATTGAAAAGTTACTCCTTGACTATTGGAGAAATGTCAACAGGCAAGTTATATGTTGCGTCATAATCCCTATGATTAATATAAATGAAGTAACGAACCAATTCATCGGCTTGATGTTTTACATCGAAAGTTACCCTTACAAAAGTTTTATCCATTGTGCAAACGCCATAAAAGTAAGGCAATATTTTAAGTATATTTGTTAGGGCATAATTATTATGATTTATGGAATCAATGTCTATAGCAACAAATTAACGAATTAGATANCGAAAGCATATGGCAGTTAAAACTCTCATCAGTTAAAGGCCCATTTCCATCCGAGGTGCCTTGCGCGCCCGAATCATTTTTCATATATGAAAAATACGTTATTTCCTCGTAGTTGCGGAATCGCATTGATATCTTCTTCCATCTTACTGATTAGGGCTTTCAAAGTTCCATCTTGAATCATGTGCGAACAACAAACTATCGTAGTATCCATATTAGTAAATAGTTTTTAATTCTTACATGTATGATGGTGAAAAACGTCATTTGAAAAGTTGATGCCACCGAAGAAGCAGTCTAGAGGAAGGCCGAGTCTGCCCGGCTCGGCAAAGGTTATTCGACTTCGAGAGTCTGTGTATGATTTATGGAGGGCAAGGAAAACAACCATGGGTTTCGGTAACACTATTGACAGTGCTTTTGCAGAAATTTTATTGCATTGTTCCTACGATGGAACTAGAGACTTCGGGGAGATTTTTTTTTGAGGTGAGAATAATTACTTGACTGATTTTTATTTGAGATCCTGAGATATGTATGTAAGCGACCTCATTTGTAGAAGTGATTATTCTATAATTGAAATGCGTAAAGTAAATCATGTTTGGCCAATATTGGTTATTTGTTTATATTTTATTTAGTGTTGAAGCCGAACAATTTCCTTCAACATCAAGTAAGCTTTGTACAAGTTTTATACAGACTCGATTTATGATTTTTCGGTCTGAAATATTTAGCTGCAAATTTGTTTACTGTGTTCTTCACCAAATCTTTGTTTTTCTTTTTAATAGTGTTTGCGAATGACTATCAGAGATCGCCATTTAACAATAGCGCGATTCCAAAACAAAAACAAACGACTGCAAAGGATCTCTAATGAAAGTGGGCCTTTAAGTGTAATTAAACATTTTATTAACTTTAAAAGGATTTTCAAATCATAAAAAAAGAAAACAAGATCGAGTTTCTTTAGCTAACAAACATAGCAACATCTTTTAATATAAATCTGTCAGAGCAAGTTTCCCAGGCATTGAAACATATACTAAAATAGTTTTCAGCAAAGAGTTTTTTATCCAGTTTGACCTTTCATAAGTTTCCCTTATGCGCAAAGTCAGAACATTTGGATCTCGATTCATTTTTGGGGAAATCAGTTAGTATTCTATATGCACCTTTGTTTCACGTAACAAGACGAACAAGAACTCTCCTAACTAATATGGTTCGTACATTCTACAAAACCAAATATTCTACGATTATACGATTGTGTGTAAGATTCTACTGACTCTAAGTGTTGTCGCCTGATGATTTTAACAACTGTTATAGTATAGCAAGCTGAATGCGACAAGTTAAAGTTAGTTTCAGTTAGAAGGACGCATTTTCCAACGTTGTGAACTAAAATAGTGCTCGAGCTCTGAACACACTCTCAAGCACTCTTTGGCTCTACTTCACTTCAAATCTGCCACTGATTTCATCTTCTGTCATGTTAATATATGTCCTCTGAAATTGATGGATCAAAGAGAAGAAGAAGAAATGTCAACTTAGATGTGCATAAGGAAAAAATATACGATAATGGTAATGACAGCAGATATTAAAGACCTAAGTAACAAGGCAGCTGAAGAAGACGAGAAGGTATCAAAAATCATGAGGGTCAGCTAACTAAGCACGAAGTGAAACACCATTTGAACCATAATAATCTCACCAACATTTTATTTCGGTCCACCTTCTATCGTCTGGGTTTTTTAATAGAAAAGTATTACCTCTTCATTTCTTCTTGCGCGACGATACGAAAATTTCATAGTGCATCCGCACATGAATGTGATTAAGGTACCACCAAACACACTAAGCACGATAATCTGGAGGACTGAATGTTGTCGTTCCTTTCTTGGCGAGACTGTAGTTGGATACGCTTGTTGAAATAAAAAGAACCATTAAAAACAGTAAGATTAGACAACCGCATGGCCCTGTCGAATGCATCACTTTTTTAGTGGAGCTGGTCGTTTTATCTTGTTTCGCGAGAAACTACAACCTGATCATCTCTTTGTAAAACATGAGAGCATATTTGATTGCAACCTTCATTTACTGGTTTAGTTGCCAACAATGGGGATTTTCTTCAAATTATTATCGTGTAAGTTTTTATCCTGAGTTCTGCTACATGATTGCCCATCGAGGAAATGAATATCAAGTTACAACATAACATCAATGTGCAACCTCACCTAAATGTTTAATGAACAGGAAAGCAGATTTGGACGTTATTTCCCCAGCGCTGCTCTTCGCAACACAAATATATTTGCCTTTATCTTCTTCCTTCACTTCTTTTATTGACAGCTGGCTCTGCTGGACGCCTTCGCCATCTAGTGGAATGCGAATTACTTTTACTCTTGGGTTTGAGTTAACAGCGTGCGAATTATTGTTCTTGACCCATGTGATGGTTTGCTCGAGAAGACCAGCGGCAGAACAGTTAAAGGTTACATTGAAACCGACAAAAGCAGTTTGGTTCACTGGATCTTCAACAATCCTCGCCTTGTCATCTGAAAGCGAAAGTGAGCAAAATCTAATATTGTGGACGAGGAAAAAAGGATGCGAAAGAAGTACATGAAAGGAACGAAAATGCGAAGAGATGGTGAGTATTGATAAGATAATACTTTCCATGATTCGAGGAATTTTGAGAATTCGCACAAGTAAGCTATTCTAAAACACTTTCTACAATTGCTTTTTGAAAGCATTCTTTCACTCGCTNAGCAGATGTCTCACCTAAATCTTTTGTGGACAAGAATGCCGGGTTTGATGCCTTTTCTCCTTCACTGTTATTTGCTAAGCAGTGATATTTTCCATTATCTTCCCTCTTTAGATCCTCTATAATCAGCTGGCTATGAATTTGCACGTTGTCAAGGAAAGTTTGACTGACATTAATCCGTGGGTTGGAACGAACAGCAAGTGAGTTATCGTTCTTTATCCATTTGAGAGATGGCATGGGATGACCTTTGGCAGTGCAGTTAAAGGTTATGTTGAAACCGGCATCAACAGTTTGGTTCTTAGGATCCTCGACAATCTGTGGTGCAAGGAAAGCTGACACCGGCAATATCAGATAATAGTGAATGTTTTTTTGGAAGAAATAAGGCAAAATTTTAAAACCCATCAGACAATTTTGAAAAAGAAGGAAACAAATAAATAGGGAAGGTAGGCAAGTAAGGTAAACACATCTTGAATAGTAAGCCCCACGTTTTTGCCATGTCCAATACATTTTGCTCATGCCTCTATAATCTTTCTATCTATGTTACCTCTACACTAGAAATTGCATACTTTTAGTGTTTTCCATGTACATTTTATAAATATTAACCAACAAAGAGCATGTTGACTCCTCCTGGATGGCAGCTGGACCATCAAAGGTAAATATCAATACCAAACAATTTTCAAGCGCAGTTTGGTGCGAAAACCACTCGTCGCCACATTCTCCACTTAGGTATTACATTCAGGATGAAATACCATTAAAAAGCTCAATTAGATGGCGTGGGGAAGGGGGGGGGGGGCAATGAACTGAAAAAGTCTGATAGGATGGTAGAAATCACCGAGGAAACTGCTTTTAACCTTTTACTGTTATAAATTACTGTTATAAATACGATCTGCAAATCTTTCCTCAATGTGAAGATTGAATCAGAGTACAAATATATGAAGCCTTTACGACAGGCAATGAGATAACTCACGGGTTTTGTGCGCATTTAACTATTCATTTTTACTCCTCAGGCCTAATTCTATTTCGAAACTAGTATTTCTTTCTCCTCTCGTTACCACCTACTGGCCAAACTTTTCTTGTGGCCATGTATTATGATGAACTACCAGAGCTTCATGCTGGCACTGTGTATGCTAGTTTACTTTACAATTCGCGAGTGTGTGCTCACCGAAAATAGCAATTTTCCTTGCCAAGAACTTGCTTCTCGAAGATATTACTTTAGATGTGTTACATACCTCGCAGTTTTATTTCGACAGTACTTTGCCTACAATATCCGACATAATCATTCTCCGCCTCACAAGTGTAGTTGCCGAACTGTTCCAAAGTCACCCTCTGCAGCATTAATCTGCAGCTTAGTTTTCTCACTGCTGGTGTGCCCTGCAGGCATCTGGCTCCAACTGGTTTACCCTGAGGATCATACCACTGAATATACTTGGTCTGTCTCCTGGGAAATAGTCGGTCGCCATTCCTTGGCCTCGCTATGCAAGTCAAGCTAATAGCTGCACCTATTGTTAAAGTGCGGTTTGGCGGACTTGTGGAGATATCTATTTCAGGTATCACTGGACGGAAAAGATAAAAAAAATTAACTGCGTTGTCCTCGAAGTAACTTAAAACAGTTATGACGATGACTCAATCGGTAACTTCATAACAGAAACTTGATTCATGGGGTAAGGATGTAACTATAAATTTGCCAAAAAAATAATAATTAAAAGATACAGTTGCTACTAACCTATCTTATTATTACATCCCTTCCTCATTTTCGCGGATGAAAGGTCGCTTGGAGCACTGGTAACAAGTAATAGCATGATAAAGTTGCTAATGTCACGCCAAAGCCAATGTGTGCTACACATTCTTGTCGTTGGATTTACTTTGAGTTCCTCACCAAAAAGGTACCTAAATGTAAAATATTTTATGTAAAAAGGGTCGAATAAGAATGATGTGAAGGGAAAGATAAGATGAGATGAGGCTGGAATTGATGGCAATCTAAGATACTAAGCCTATTAAGGTATAGACGTTTGAAATAATTCTACGAATTTTTGACTCATTTTGACGCATTTTCTGACTCACA